GTTTGGTGTTTGGAGCCAAACACTTCAAAGATATGTTTTGTATATATATGAGACCTATTATATATTGATGAAAAACAGTATAATAGGAGGCCTTTAAGAGAACTCACCACAGTGCAGCAGAGAGGCCAGAACCACCACAGGAGAGCCAGGACCAGGAGCAGCATCAGGATGAGCAGCGCTATGGCCAGGATGGTCCCATCAGACTGTGACAGAGACAGACACGTCAACACAGACTCTCTCAACATTCAGAGCATTAATGTCAACCACTTCACAAGGCGTAATGCTTGTTTTGGGAAGAAATCTTTTGGTTTTGGTTTTATCTTCCATGGAATCAGTACATGATGACTGTGATTCAGCTTCTACTGAAACACTTAAATTGATTTGCGTCTGCAACGTTAAGTATGTGCCAATACAGATACCAGTCTGATGTCTCATGTCCTTTTTATTTTCTTAAAAACCTAAGCTGCTTATGATTCATTTGTATGGATGCAAACAAATGTATGGCAATCTCATTAACGTTATGTTTAAACTCTGAAACGAATATACTACTTCCTTAAAAGACTAAGTACAAATCTTGCAACCCAACTCACTTTGCAATACTGCTAAATCTCTTTGATTACACTTTTCACACACAGAATCCTTTGTAGCTTTTTTGATTGGTCAACCATTTTTAAACATTCACAATGAAATGTAAAATACAACTTTCTGTTTAAACCGGAGAGTTTAGAATAAGAATACATTTGTTTCAGAAAGTTTCAGCTTGTATTTTTCTTTTTTTATTCCTCCTATATCCAATCATTTCAAAAGTATAAGACTGATGCTGATTGGATAACAGCTTCCTTACTTGTTAATGCTTTTTTTTTTACCAGTTTAAATGCACCATTACCCACTATAATATGCCTTCAAAGCTATAAGCTGGTACATTAAATTGTACTCACACAGCCCACAGTGGTAATGGTGACCGAACTGGAGATGAAACTGAGACCTTCGTTCATACTGACATAAAGGTTTGCTGCCCTGCAAAAACAAAAGCAGTAATGTCTCAACTGTAATGTTTGTGGCGTCTTAGAAAAAACAGAGTAGCTGGTGTCATATGAGAACTCACATACATTTTCACATATTAAAATACTCACATTCCCTCATCTTGAAGTACTGGTGCAGTGCAGAGAAGATATGTATCTTCCACAATCAAGGGCTTCACCACTAAAGAAAAAGAAGAGTGGAAAGAAATAGAAAAACATTCAGTAGTTTTCCTTGACATATAACAGCTCCTGAAACCGTTTTAGCCACAAACCATGTCCCGAATCAACTCTCAGAGTGTGTCATTGTTTAGCCTAATACAGCCTAAGTTTATACTTGATAAACACACTCTCTCAGAGAGGCATTTCTGCTTCGTTTCTTCTTTGTTTCTTCTTTGTTTCTACTTTGTTTCTGCTTTGTTTCTTCTTTGTTTCTTCTTTGTTTCTGCTTTGTTTCTTCTTTGTTGTCTACTGTCTAAAGACATCTGTATGACACTCAGAAACACCACCACAGCTTTTGATTATTCAGGGGAATCTAGTCGTCTCCTTATCCAGCTGGCTTTTAGTAAAGCAGCTCCAACAAACATCATCGGCCAAGCCTGTCTGTTTATCCTGGCAGGAGGGGAGCATACCCCAGAACTGAGGAAATCAACACGAGCAGCCGCATGGGCTTCGACCGCTCTTCTTTAAAAACACAACGCTGCAAGGAGTGGATGGGTGTGGGTTGGGCGATCAGCGCTGCCAAAAACTTGTCTAGATAATCCTACTCGGAGATCATCTCTGCATCAACCTTGTACTCTGAATTGCCTTACAGCATGACGAAAAGGCCTGAGAGTCTTCTAAAAGTCAAACTACAGCAGAGTCCAGTAATGCGCTGGTGGGAGCTGATTCTGCACTGTTTAAACCCCTCGAGGGTAAAATGCTGGCAAAGCATCTAGAGTTCATGTCAGGAGGTTTTATTGGACTGTTTGCTCTCTTACCCCAAAGAGAGGTAATGTTTTACAGTGAGGAGTAGACAAGACAAACTAGCAAGAGTCAACATTTAACCATTTAGTTGATTGAAGTAACTGCTTAAAATGATGGCAGATGTTCAATCTCTGAGAATATTTATTGAGAGGGTCAAAGGTCAATTTACAGTTGCCTATGGTGAAGTTTTTGCATTTTCCAGACTCCCAAGGAGAAGTAAAAATGTTTGGCTTATTCATTGTCTTGCCAGCTGATAAAATCTAATCCACTGTCGGTAAATAAATAACAAAGAATCTATACAGCCCTGCGATGGTTAGCTAAACATAAAAACTCAAACAGCTAGTCTGACTTTCGTCCAAAGGGAACATATTATGCAGAATAACATCCTATAGTTACAAAAAAAACATTCAAACATGGTTTTACAGATGATTGAATATTTCCTGGACGGGAGCGATACTTCCTGGATACTATTAAGGCGAGGAGAGACAGAAACCAGTTAATATACCAAGGTATGTTGTACATTTGAATTGTTGTGAATATTAAACAAACAAGGTGTAAGCTAAGCTAAAAATATGCATATATGTCTGTCTTTACAGCTAGCTTAAACAGAGCTAAACTAGCCGTTTCCCCTTGTTTTTAGTCTCTGTGCTAAGCTAAGCTAGCTAGCTGCTGCTGGCTGTAGCTTCATACTCAAAAATACAGGCCTGCGATAGGTACCAATCTTCCTATCTTTATTCAGCAACAATAGCAATGTTGCATTATATCTTTGAAGTAGTGTGTCCCATTTTTAAACTTAAAATATTATCCATGGCAACATCTGTCAACAAAACAATGGCTAGCTAACGACAGGGACTGCCAAATCCCATCCCGCCTGAATGAATGTATCTGCTGCTACTTTTTCCTGGAGACACAAACTCAAACACCGATTCATCTGCTCAACATATGCATTTACATATTACTGCCTTCTTTTTTACCTTTTCACCATATTTGCGAAGTATACACAGAGGGCTTGAGGGGGAGAGCAAAGATGAACAGTATTAGACTCTTTTTAACCTCTCCCTCAGCACAAATGCAATTCCAAAAGTATGGAAGTCAGCTTATGTCTTGCCTTTCCTAAAAGGAGAGAAGGCAACTATTTTAAATAACTATAGGCCAATCTCAAAATTGTCAGTTCTGGCGAAGGTGCTCGAACGCCTAGTGAGTGAACAGGTAAAGGTGTTTTTATGTAAAAATGATATCCTGTCTAAACATCAGTCAGGCTTCAGAAAGCAACATAGCACCATCAGTGCGACAATGAAAGTGCTGAATGACATTACGAGTATTTTAGATAATAAGCAGAGTTGTGCAGCTCTATTTATTGAACTTTCCAAAGCGGTTGACACCGTTGATCATCGCATTTTGAAGCAGAGGCTACTCAGTATTGGCATATCCAGCCATGCAGTGGGGTGGTTTGTGAACTACCTCTCTGAAAGGTCCCAATGTGTTCATTTTGATGGGCTGTCTTCTGAGTCGTTAAACATTGCTAATGGTGTTCCTCAAGGTTCTGTTTTAGGTCTACTTTTATTCTCCGTATATATCAACAGTTTAGGTGAAAATGTGAATGAAGCTACTTTACATTTTTATGCGGACGATACCGTGATGNGTGGTGGTCACTCACACACACACACACACACATCCCTCGCTGTGCTTTTATTTTTATTCTCCTAGGAAGACAGAAATAAAACAACAAATGCAGAAAAAGACTTCCTAGGAGAATAAAAATAAAAGCACAGCGAGGGATGTGTGTGTGTGTGTGTGTGAGTGACCACCACACGTTTACACACACTCGCTTTACAATAGTGAAAAGCAACACACTCAGCTCTGCTGTGACGCACCCTGTGGCAGTGTCTACTTTGTGTCGTGTGCAAAATATATATTTTAAGACGTTTCACATTCATGGGTTGGTGGATGAGCCCCGGCCTGTGAGGGTGGTGTAAAGGGACGTCTTATTTATTTCTAATTAAATCTGTATTTAAAAGGTGATGAAGTGTTCACAATCATTTTCTTTCGATATTTAAGACAAATTAATATTTATTTGGGAGATTTGGAAAAGAATAACGATTAATAAGAATTAAGTCTGTACCAAATTAGTTAATTTAAAATGTTGAGGGTCTTATTTGGATGTTTTAAATTCATATGTATTATTCACAATTAACTAAGCGTTGATAGGGCTTTACCACTTTAAAAAATATTATTTGTGTTTATTTTTTTAAGACTCCTTAAGTATTGAGGTTCTTGAATGAAGCTATGGAAGTGTGAATGATGCATATGTATTGAAAAACATCCAATTAAATGAGTTAATTCCAATTTAAAAAATCCGCATTTTGTACCAATTTTTGTATTTTTTAGCCAACAAAAAATATTGTAATTAATTCAGAAAAAGTTTTTGGCAAATATATGCATCACTTGAATCTGAAACTACATACAAATAATATAATAAAAATACAGCAGCCTGAAAATAAAATAAAAATAAAAAACGTAAATTCTATGAAGAAATATCTAAATATTTGGTACAGCCCTAATAGGATCCCAGGTCAGATTTACGCAAATATATACTTTAGATGTGAAATCATAGGCAGTAGCATTATATACAAATAATTTCAGCATTTAAAACTGTTTTTGAGTGTTTTGTACAAATTAACGGAAACGACAGCGGCCAGGTGTCTCTGTGATGTTTAGGATTAAAGGTGGAGCCGCTGAATTTAACACCACCAACACAGGAGGGCGGAGAGGAAACACTTCGCTTCGGTTCAATGATTCATCACAACGTTTTAAATTCCTTTGATAGTCCAAACAGGGGATTAAAAGATCGTAAATCCCGCCCCAAACATTTTTTTTAAAAGAAAATTAAAATGTATACTGTACCTTTAAGGGAAAATACAATAACAAAGGCAGTTCTGCGTGGTGTGTGTGAGCTAATAATAATTGTGTGTGTGTGTGTGTGTGTGTATAAAGTAGAGGTAGTGTTTGTAGATGGGTGTAATGGTGTGTGTGAGTGAGGGGGGGTTATTTATTTTCGGGACCACTCAGTGCATAGACGTCTCACCGGCCGCACACACTGATGATTTCAATATGCTAACGATGCTAAATGCTAACCCCTTTAGATGTACACATCCTCTCGTGATTGGCTGATATAAAACAGGGTAAAACAGAGGAAGCATCAACACTGATTATCCTGTGGCAATTTCAATTGTCTGGGTTTCTTTTTTTTTTTAAACAGCAATTCAACAACTCAATAACTTAAATCATTTGAAAGGGAAAAACCACTGCAGCATCGAAACAGGACGTCCTGCTTCTCTATTTAAAAAAACAAAAACACCTGTCATCAACAAATTATATTTCTTCTCAATTAAACAACATAAGAAAAACAAAGAAATAAAAAAACAAAAAACCTTTGGTGACTAATTAAGTGAGCCACTATTCAAGGATTCTATACATTTGTCTTAAATGCTATATCTGAATATATTATTTTATTCACTTATCTTACAAAAAACAAAGTGTGTGTGTGTGTGTGTGTGCGAGGAGGTCATTGGATGGTGTGAGTCTGGGTGTTTCTCAATGTCGGGTAAGGATCCTCCAGAGCCACTATTTCAAGGATGCTACCTCGTCGAAAGACTGTCCCAATGTCCAGGATCCTTGAAAATCTACCGAGGACTGAATCCTTCGTTGCGGAACATTTCGAGGCTGCACCGGTGTATCCTCCGCGGTCTTAAAATCCCCACAATGCTTTGCGCACAGACCAATTTCCCAAATCTTTGGCAGAAAAATGTAAGGCGGGGCCTCTCATATGACACACACCTGCACACTTGCTAGCATGTTCCACTCTTCGTTCTCCGATTGCCAGGAAGGATTCTTGCCTAGCTTCTGAAGGACCTGACATGTTCTACCAAGGAAGCGTCCTTGACATTGAGAAACACCCTCTACTTCTTAAAGAGCCCTTTCTGCCTACGCTCCTCCACGCCTCAGCCAATCAGAGCGGAGAACACCTGTGATGTCATGATTAAAACGCCCAATCAAAAATGACGAGCTTTAACATTTCAAAAAAAAAAATTGGAGGTGTTAAACTTCACTTCCTGTGAGAGGCTGAAGAGTCGAGGAGACGCCCAGTGCCTGCTGGGTAATAAAAGTGGGAGGCTGTTGTGTGCGTGTGTGAGAATAACACACTTTGTTACACACTCGCTGAATAACAGTCGA